ACGCACCTTGAGTACTTGAACGAGTTCTACTATTTCGAGAAAAAAATTTCATGGATTACGTCGTCCGTTGCCATCACCTAGATGTACCACCCAACGAATATCGAGCTCTAACGCTGATATGCCCTCGTCGCTCCAACAAATCCAGAAGAGGCTAGTTAATTGCCGTAAGTACTCTAACAGTCGGAGACTTACCATCGGATGGGTTGTTTTATAAGTTTAAAGGGAGGACGTTAGTGAATCCCCGATCGGTTGTCTCAGCGCATTCGGTGCTGTAAGAACTCACTCACTATCTGTCTGTGGCAGCCATTTGACCCAGTAGCCCTGATTGTATCTAGAGTTGTCTTCAGACTGAAAACAGAAATCAGGGCGGCTACCTCTGTTTACCAGCCAACAGAACATTCGTCCTAAGCAGATTAATAAAAAGGAAAACGGAGGTTAGCTTAGTTCTCTATTAATAGCGGTTCTTGTAGTGCCATCGCCGACAGTTATGTGTGAATGTGATAAATAGACCTCCTGAAAGAAACTCTTCCAGACAGTAACTGCACTGCCACTTCAGTTGATACCAGCTGGCCGGTGAAGTACGGAAATGGGATAGGTACCGAATGCAGGCGCAGTTCACAAACCTTTGGCTGCGAAGAGTTGAGAAAATTTATCATCCCGCGTATACGCTCTCCGTTCTCCCCGCAGTAATTCACAAAAGGTGGGGACTAGTATAGAGGTCGCAACGCAGTGGAGCTCGCCTACAACTGCCACTTGTGTAGCGACCTGAACTTCCCGTTTCGTAACCGTAGTTGCGGGGCATGACAGAATGTCTTTGTCTAGATAGAAGATATAGACTCGGAAATTTAGCATGACCAGACAGAAGCAATATGGATGACGTAGTGACTACCACCACTACAAACATTCAAGCTAACGAAGTTTTACAAAATGAAAGACCACACTCCCCCGTATCACACTAAGTATTTTTGAGACGACCACTACAACCCAATCCAAGGCTATGAGAACTGTCTTTCACGCCAGTTAAACGACCGCTTAGGTGATTGATGTCAACAACTACAGACATAAAGGTAGGAGGTCGGAATGATAGCACATCCCATCAACCCCCTGTTTTGGATTTGCAGGCCTGATAATTCGAGACAAATCCCTTATCTCGTGGACTCTGCCACTGAGCGCTTATAACTACTACCCACGCATTCTTAGGAAGTTTAGCAATGTGTGCCATTGAGAACCATCACTACCTATTGACTTATGCAAGGCCTAAGAGGCATGCAGAGACTGATAGAACTACGATCTTAAGTGGTACGTAAAATCGCCATAATTCGACGTATCATATAAGTGGATATTCCAGTTTCAGACAGGTGCAAGAGCGTTCTAAATGAGCACTTATGGCGAATTTACACGACCTCAGTTGCTGTCAAACCACAAAAATTTGATCTTAAGCGTATTCAAAAGGGTATTCGTACGAGACACTATGACCGAAATAAAAATTTAAATTAATAGTGACTCAACTATACAAAAACAACAGCAAACACTCATTTTCACGGAGATGCTGGCGGCTGCAATGGAGGAGTCGGCGAATGCGATTCCATCGGAGCAGCATAACGACTTAAATCTCCAGTTGGTGACAAGGAAACCGAATAACTCCCCAATCCACATCCTCCTTCTCCCATATCCGTTACCATTGGAGTCGCGTAAGTCGGATAGCTACTACCAATACTACTGCTTCCGACTGCCGAAGACGCGCCGGAGCTAGGCGATGGCGGCCGATAATCTGCCAACGGCGGTGACGTCAATAGTTTTCCAGGCTGGGGTGCCAGTGGTGGTGGCGGTGGAGGCATTGATAGCCCTGGATTGGTTAGAGGGGTTGCCATGGGGAACGCACCCATCCCTGCCCCGTAGCGAGCCCCACCAGAACGCGGGGCTGAACGGATTGGAGGTGGCATCAGTCTACTTGGTGAGACCATACCACACTGTTGTTGCGACATCGTCCCTCCACCACTCAATGGACTCAGAGGCGTCGCCGACATTACAGAAGTCGGTTTAGATGTTCCCATCATTGAAATCGCCCCCGCAGACTAATGAAAGTCAGTAGGAAAAAAGTAAACCTACTAGTTTGAAACAACACATGAAAATAAAGATGCTTCAACTTACAGTGCATCGTTCCAATTCTCTTCTAAGAGACTCAAGAGCTTCCACAACCTTTGCGTTGGACGATTTGAATCCCGTGGGTGTGAGAGGAGGTGAGTTTACAGAATGATCTTCTCCGGCACTACTACTGCTTTCTTGCGGTGGATATTCTACATGGCGGGACAGAGCATTGAGTAACCTCTCTCTTTCACTACTAGCCCGAGGTGCAACGTTCGTTGACATTGCCAGTTCGGTAGAAGTAAAGAAATTAGGCATCGGAGTGACAGCTCCCGCTGAGCCTGGAGTGGTTGGGGTAGAGGGCACTGTGGGGACCAACTTAGCGCACTGCGCAAGAACCAGAAGTTGGAGGTCGCTTTGAAGAGGCAAACTGGTGCGCAGAAGACTAGCCAACTCCGCACGAGTCACAATAGAGGTGCCAGCATTAGTGGCAGTGGAGGAGGCAGCTGAAACAGAGGAGAGGGGCGAGGTAGCAACGGTTGTGGAGGTAGTCGAAGAGGAGTCGGTAGTTCCAACAGATGACTTCTCCGGTATAAATCCACTACCGCTGCTTCCTTCAGACGTAACAGGCGTTGGAGTCGACGTCCCATCACCAATCGTTGATTCCTCGGAAGAGAGAGGCAGCGATGCAATTCCTAACGAAACTGCTTGTAGACACTCCGGACGCCAACGAAATCCGAACATCAGTTGATTTGCAGATGCAGGCGTTGGTGAAGGTGCACTTTTGGATAACCGAAAAGATTTTGATGGCCTCGCCTGAGCAGCTCCTACCGCAGCCTTGAGCAGAGCTCGAAAAACCGTCCATTCACGACGTTCCAGTGCAAAGAGAGCGTGATACTGAAGGAAAAGATGCCCTACTGGATGAGCCAAATAAGCGGGCGAAACCACGACACTCGTAGGCTGAGCAGCTAAAAGGGCAAAGTGGTGATATTGGACTCCTTAAGAGGCTTGAACTCACCATCCAGGCGTCTTTGCCACGTGGTGGAGGGTCGCAAATGAGAGGAATCGCTTCCACCACCACCACCACCACCACCACCACCACCAGATTTGGGCCAAATTCGATTCGCTACGCTACGAATCTCCTCACATACCTGACTGCGCCAGGTGGTGACATGTAGTTGCGCTGCAGCTGGAAGAACTTGGGTGATGAGAATCGTCGCCGGGTCTGATTTCGATTGTGGTGGCGAAGTCGATGATAATGCATGAAGCATATGCCTACGGGACCGCTTATACTTCGACTCCGATTTAGACACCTCCTTACTCACAACCACCTCCGGTGGGCACAAATCACTCTCCAAGCCTCGCATTAGTAAATGAACGAGAAATGGGACTTCAGAGATGCTCTATTAATGACTCATTCAAAGAGAGCATTAAAGCCGCCTACCTTGGGCGACTTATCCTCATACAATCCTGTTATAACAACCCTGAGGAGGGAGGAGCACACAGTGTACACAACCCAAGGATCACGACATACAATCTGTATGTCTCTAAAATACGGAATGGAATTTCAAAACAAAACAAACCGCTCGAAAGCTAAAGTTCCATAGTCAGATGTTGCCAGTTCTTTATCGAAGTGTTCTTCCACATCCTCCAGTGCGTGCTTCTCGCCAGCTGTTGGAGTTCTCATTGACTTTTTTATGACTCCGCGTTCATCTAAGTCAGGGGCCCAATCCTCGGAAGTGTCCTGATCTAGTCCAACCTCGGAAGAGAGAATAAAACGGTTGGGATTATGCCTGCGGTGTCGGTTCAGATGGACTGCCAGCTCACTGGCATGACGACGATCGATTCGTTTGCTCTTGATGCAGGCATCCATGCACCAAACAAAATGATGAATTGGATCCGTCACACAAATCCGGTCCAGCTTAGCCTCGTTGAAACTCATAAGGAGATCAAAACGAAAAGTGCAGAGGAAGGCAGCTGCCAAAGACTGCGGGGCAGGCAGAAGGGCAGGTGAAATGAAGAGGTGTTGAGACGTAAAGCCTTCATCCTTCTTCTGACCACCCCCTTTACTTGATTTACTATCCGTGAACTTCTTTGAACATTCATTAGTAGAAGTTCTACGAGTAGCAAACTTCTCTATCAACTGCTGGTATCTCGCACTCTCTTCCCGAAAAATCTCAAGTGCCTAAAAGAGGCGATGACACCTCCAATCCAGGTTACTTTTTCATACAGAGTTTCATTCTCCCCTATCATTTCAACAATTTTCATTAAAGACGGGTCCTTCCGACGTCGTCGTTGTGGCCAATAGAGAATTGGCAAGGTATCAACATTAGCAGAAGTGACAGAAGCCAGTAAAGGATCGAGTAGCGCCTCTGACATTGCACTTTGATAGGCATGCAAAACGTTCATTATCTCCTCCTTATATCTACAAGTAAATTAAGGCAAGAGTCAGGAGCAAGTCTCACTTGGTCTGATTTGCCATCCATATGTGACGAAGGACTGGAAGAGGGGCATCTCTGTATAGGTAATCATTGTCAACTATCAGAGAGACGTAGCGACTCTTGATTGAATTCATTTGTCCAAGAACCTAGGCTTAATAAGTGTCGAGAGAGCAAGCGCACCATCATAATGGCTGATCGCATGTACGGATGATGAATATAGGCCATTCCAGTACGAATCAACTTTTGCCAAAGCTTTTGGTTCTTTTTATCTTCACCACCCTCAGCTGCTTTCGCCTGAATACGGGACTTGACAGCTTCTAAAAGGCGATCATTTATATTCTATCGGCCAATAAGATTAAACACTAGTATCCACCCATAGAACACTGTGTCGACTAACATCGTGCAGATCAAGAATTTTTAGAGCCTGACTGAAATTCGGCACCATTTGTTCCCAGTACTTTTCTTGAAAACGTTCAACATCCTCCTTAGTAGTTGTGCCATTCATGAACAATTCTTCTATAGACTTTTTCATCACAGGAAATACAAAGGGTTTCTACCCAAGAACGTGAGAAAATATGACAAGACCCAACCCCTTCGTTGCTGTCCATTTGTACCCCCAGAAAGTTCTGAATAAGGCGCTCTTGTGCAAGAAGACAAACAATCCTTAACCATTGTTGTGTGTCCTATCCTAAAAAACAAAATCCATTATTGCATTGTTCAAATCTATGAACCGAATACATCTCTAATCACCACATCTAATTGATAACTATTAAAGATTAAAACTGAAGGATGAGCAGCATATGTTCTGCTTAGTTGCCTCAGAAGTACTACTAGCGTGTAGTCTGATTCGAGGGAATATTTCATTCTAAAGGTGTGTTATTTAAATAAATTTTAGCTGTGTAGTGTCCCGAGACCTCCTATCCGGTAGTAAGAAGTCAGCAAGTGCAGCTGGTCAAAAGGGCCTGAGCATTTCCCTAAGGCGAGTCCACGCGCACAAGGGCCATACAAATCCTAAATTGACTGGCAAATGCCATGTGGTCATATAAACAAAGCATTACAAGCTGGTTTAAGAAATTCTGGTTGATAAGGCTACATATCTGTATTCGAGCACCCCAAGGGCGCCACCTCCGGAATTTTGAGGCACGACATTTCTCATTGTCTTGCATTCTTTTTTTGATATTTGGAGAAAGCGATGAGGAGCCTGCATTAGTTATGCGATTGCCGCAATTCAACTCATTATGTGGGATTCACGTAATCCATCAAGTCACATTTAAAGATCAAGAAATCTTAATGAAATACCTTGTTTATTTAACAAGCCGAAGTGTGGCAACTATTTTAAGAGATGTTAGGCTCTTGAAATAGTAGGCTGGACTTCTGGCCATGCTCAGGTCTACCTCATTTGTTTTCTCTTGGAACATGTATTCATCTTCGCTCTATGCCTTCTTCCACTCGGCAAAAATACTTGGAAAGTTACACTTGTGGTAGCGGAAAGAAAATCCGACATTATTTTTATGGTTCTACCATAGTATATACAGATTGACGCTTGTGTAACACTTTGCTGTTTTAATCACATGATATCTGGCCCTTACTTTGTGATTTATCTGGTCTATGCATACATGAGCTGGCCTTTGCGCCATGCCCAGGTTTGATCCCTTTGTTCTCCTTGGAACTCATTTATTTATTTCCACATGCTGCCTTCCGAATTGTTGGATGTCTCGGGTTGCTACAGCATGCGATTATGTCTAGGGCTGGGTAATCTCTGAAACCTACACAGCAAAAGGTTTTATAAAATGATGTAGACGTTTAACATCTTTTCTCCGTGTTTCAAAGACAAGGTATTAGCAAATTAAGCGACTGTTGTG